TGCCAGAGGTCTGCCATATATGGGAGAAGATTCATCTTTTGACATTTTTAGTCTTGGCCTAATACCACAGGTTGGAACCTTCCCACTCCTTCTAAGCATATATATAATTGAAAATAAAATCTTTTAACTGGAACATAATATATTCCCTTTATTACCTTAAAAAACCTCAACCAGATCACCCTCAGGTCTTGATTTCTCTTATTCCAGTACCTTAACTCATTCAATCAGTATTTTCAACTAAGATGCTTTATGCTAGGAATGAGTTTTTGCACACCCTGTCACACTCTTTCCAAAGCCTTAATATTGTGAGGAGACTAGAACTGGAAGTATTTCAAAGGAAATCTGATCAACATCTTGTAGGAAGACAAAATTACATACTTTATCTAATAAATATTCAAATCTATTAATTGAGAATAGACCCTACTGCACTTTGTTTACTTGAGCCTTCATTTCATAGTGTCGCTCATGTACCTTTGGAGATATATAGAGTCATAGAGTCATAGAGATGTACAGCACAGAAACAGGCCCTCTCGTCCAACTCATCCATGCTTAACAGATATCCTAAATTAATCTAGTCCCGTTTGCCAGCGTTTGGCACATATCCCACTAAACTCTTCTGATTCATGTACTCATCCAGATGCCCTATAAATGTTGTAATTGTACCAGCCTCCACCACTTCCTCTGGCAGCTCATTCTATACTCTCCGCAAGAAAAAGTTGCCCTCTAGGTTCCTTTTAAATCTTTCCCCTCTCACCTTAAACCTATGTCCTCTTGGTTTGGACTCCTCTACCCTGGAGAAAGAAGCCTTACTATTCACCCTATCCATGTCCCTTGTGATTTTATAAATCTCTATAAGGTCACCTCTCAGCCTCTGACACTACAGGGAGAAGAGCCCCAGACTATTCAGCTTCTCCCTCCAGCACAAACCCTCCAACCCTGGTAACATAGCTGTAAATCTTTTCTGAACCCTTTCAAGTTTCACAACATCTTTCCTGTATGAGGGAGACCAGAATTGAAGGCAGTATTCTAAAAGTAGCCTAACCAATGTCCTGTACAGCCACAACATGACCTCCAACTCCTATATTCAATGCACTGACCAATAAAAGCAAACATACCAAACGTCTTCTACACTAACCTGTCCACCTGCAACTCCATTTTCAAGGAACTATGAACCTGCACTACAAGGTCTCTTTGTTCAGCAACACGCCCCAGGATCTTACCATTAAGTGTATAAGTTCTGCCCTGATTTGCATTTCCAAAATGAAACACATCACATTTATCCAGATTAAACGCAATCTACCATTCCTTAAGCCATGGGCACATCTGATCAGGGTCTGAGGGTACCTTCTTCGCTGTCCACTACACCACCAATTTTGTTGTCATCTGCAAATTGACTAACTATACCTCCTATATTCACACCCAAATAATTTATATAAATGACAAATAGCACTGGACCCAGCACCGATCCCTGTGACACCAGCCTCTGACTCCTACCTTCTAGTCAATTTTGTATTCAAATGGATAGTTCTCCTTGTATCCCATGTCAGCTAACCTTGCTAACAAGTCTACTGTGCGGAACCTTGTCGAATGCCTTACTGAAGTCCATATAGACAACGACGACTGCTCTGCCTTCATGAATCCTCTTCGTCACTTCTTCAAAAACCTCAATCAATTTAGTGAGACACGGTTTCCCATGCACAAAATCATGTTGACTATCGCTATTAGTCCTTGCCTTTCCAACTGGATGTAAATCCTGTCCCTCAGAATCCCCTCCAACAACTTATCCACCACTGATGTCAGGCTCACCAGTCTATAGTTCCTTGGTTTTTCCTTACCACCTTTCTTAAATAATGGCACCAAGTTAGCCAACCTTCAGTCTTCTGGCACCTTACCCGTGGCTATCAATGATACAAATATCTCAGCAAGGGGCCCAGCTATCTCTTCCCTAGCTTCCCACAATTATACACCTTTATGCATTTTCTAGATGTTCAGCACCTCCTCTTCTATAATATAGACACTTTTCAAGATATCACTATTTATTTCCCCAAGTTCTCTAGCTTTCATATCCTTCTCCACAGTAAACACTGATGCAAAATACACATTTAATATCTCATTCATCTCCTGCGGTTACGCACATAGGTGGTCTTGTTGATCTTTAAGAGGCCCTATTCTCTCTCTAGTTAATCTTTTGTCTTTAATGTATTCGTAGAAACCCTTTGGATTTTCCTTAACCCTAATTGCCAAAACAATCTCATGTTCCCTTTTTGCCCTCCTGATTTCACTCAAGTATAATCCTATTGCCCTCACACTGTCCCTGGGCTCTCGTTATATCATTTTTGAAGGCTTCCCACTTTGCAGCCACCCGGTTACCTCTGAATATCCACCGCCCACCCAAGTCAACTTTTGAAAGGTCTTGCCTAATACCATCCAAATTGGCCTTCCTCCAATTTAGAATTCTAACTTTTAGATCAGGTCTATCCTTTTCCATCACTATTTTAAAACTAATAGAATTATGATCACTTGCCCAAAAGTGCTCCCTGACTGCCACTTCAGTCACTTTCCCTGCCTTATTTCCCAAGAGTAGGTCAAATTTTGCTCCTTCTCTAGTCAGTACATCAAACAAACTGGACAAGAACATTTTCTTGTACATACTTAACAAGTTCCTCTCCATCCAATTCCTTAACACTATGGCAGTCCCACTGAATGTTTGGAAAGTTAAAAACCCCTACCATAACCACCCTGTTATTCTTACAGATAACTGAGATCTCCTTACAAATTTGCTTCTCAATTTCTCACTGACTACTGGGGGGTCGATAGTCCAACCCCAATAAGGTGATCAACCCTTTCTTACTTCTCATTTCCACCCAAACAACTTCACTGGGTGTGTTCCCTAGAATATCCTCTCTAAATACAGCTGTAATGTTATCCCTAATCAAAAACTGCACTCCCCCTCCTATCTTGCCCGCCTTACTGTCCTTCTTATAGCATCTATACCCTGGAATATTAAACTGCCAGTCCTGTCCATCCCTGAGCCATGTCTTTATGATAGCTGTGATATCCCAGTCCCATGTTCCCAACCATGCCCTGAGTTCATTTGCCTTACCTGTAAGGCCTCTTGCATTGAAATAAACACAGTTTAATTTATAAGTCCGACCTCGTTCTCTGCTTTGGTCCTCCCTACCTTGACTATTTGACTTGTTCCTTTTCCCAACTGTATGAGCTTCAGACTGATCCCTTTTTCTCACTATCTCTCTCGGTCACATCCAACCTCCCCACCCCCTTCTTCACTAGTTTAAATCCTCCCAGGTGTCTCTAGCAAATCTCCCCACCATTATATTAGTTCCCTTCTAATTTAGGTGCAACCCATCTTATACAGGTCAATTCTACCCCAGAAGAGATTCCAATGATCCAAAAATGTGAATCCTTCTCCCCTGCACCAGCTCCTCAGCCAAGCATTTATCTACACTATCCTCCTATTCCTATTCTCACTAATACATGCATCTATTAGAGTAGTCCAATCTTTATCCTTATTTCTTTAGTACTTTTCCCCGATGAATAAATGCATTTTGAACTTTTTTGTTGACTCATGTTGCTGGATCGTCTAAACATTTATTGCTCATCCCTAATTGCCTTTGAGAAGGTGGTAGTGAGCTGTCTTCTAGAACTGCTGTAGTCCATTTGATGTAGGTAGACCTACAATGCAGTTTGGAAAGAAGTCCCAGGATTTTGACCCAGTGACTCTAAAGCAACAATATGTTTTCAAGTCAGATTGTACATGGCTTGGAGTGGAAGTTTCAAGTGGTGGTATTCTCATGCATCAGCTACCTTTGTCCTTCTAGATGGTAGTGGTCACAGTGTTGTAAGGTGCCGTGTGAGAAACCTTTGTAAATTTCTGCAGTGCATCTTTTGGATGGTACAAGCTGCTGTTGAATTTTGGTGGTGTAGGAATAAATGTTTGTGGGCATGGTACCAATTCAACCAGTATTTTCAACTAAGTTGCTTAATAGTAGGAATGAATTTCTGCACACCCTACCATACTCATTCCAAAGCCTTAATATTGTGAGGAGACTAAAACTGGACAATATTTCAAATGACATAGGATCAACATCTTGTAGAAAGAGACATTTACATTCCCGTGGCTTCATCCTGGATGATGTTCATCACATTTAAAGTCGCTCTGAAAAGAACTAGAGCCAATAAAATTAAATAATTGTACACAATGAACTGAGAGGAGGTGGTGTAAGGTGGTGGAGGTAGGGTTCATTAACAGCCTTTATGAAGGAATTGCATTAGGATTCCACAAATGTTTGGAACGTATGAAGTCAGAAATGACACAACACCAGGTTGTAGTCCAACAGGTTTATTTGAAAACACAAGCTTTTGGAGCCTCAGTCTTTCTTCAGGTGTTAGTGGGAGAGGTAGTATCAGATATAGAATTTATAATAAAAGATCAAAGGGTCACACCACTGATCAGATTGTATTAAACAAACCTGAGATGCTGTTAAATCTTCAATCAGTTACAAGGTTTTAATTGATTAAAATATTTATGTAAATCCCCTAATTCCTTACAAGTCACTGTCCCGACAGAACTGAAGGTTTTATCAGTGTAAAGAAGAGGTGACTTTTTAGGCAGACAATGCAAGTTAATCGTGAGGTCTTGTTTAGAATCTGTGTTTTAGTTGGAGTCAGACTGGTTTTATTTCTAAAGTAGGAATTTATAAAACACCACATTGACCAGCGGTCTATAAACTGTGTGCATTTTAAACAAAATAGAATGTGTCTGCAAATACAAGTTCTCTCAGGACAGTGACTTGTAAGGAATTCAGTGATTTACATATCCGTTAATCAATTAAAACCTTCCAACCATTGAAGATTTACATCACAGGTTTATTTAATACATCCTGATCAGTGCTAACACTACCTCTCTCACTAACATCCGGAAGAGGAGTGAGGCTTCAAAAGCTTGTTTTCAAATAAACCTGTTGGACTATAACCTGGTGTCGTGTGATATCTGACCTCGTCCACCCCAGAACAACACCGGCGACGAGACGAGGGGAGGGTCTCCACATTCAAACGCCCCGCTAGCCTCCGGCTGGAGGGGGAGTCACTGGGCCGGGTGATCATGTGACCGCGCGGCGGTGTCATGTGACTATGTGAGCGAGACACAGTTGTGGTAGCGGCGCGAGGATCCCGGGAGGCAGAGAGAAGGGGGTGAGTGACCGACCGACCGACCGACCGACCGGGGGGGGGGCGCGGGGACGGGAGTACAGGGACTGAATGACCGGCCGGGTGCAGGGACCGAGTAACGGAGGAGCAAGGCCCCCGGCAGAGACTGGTCCCGGCCGTGCCTGGGGAGGATGAAGCTGCTCCCTGTGTCCCTTCGGGGTTTCCCTGCTCAATAAATGGGGCCTAACCCGGGCTGGGGGCGTGTGGAATGAGCTGGGCTCCCCAGGGTGCGAGAGTCTTGTTTGTCTGAGTCTGTCCGGTGGAGGATCCCAGGTCAAACCGTAGGTTTGTCCCGGGGAAAGTGTTCCGCAATGATTTCTTCTTGACCTTTTAAAGATGAAGATCGGGGCTGAGATTGTGAACTTCCCCCGGAGTCTGGGCTTACAGTTTTGGGAAGTCTTGGTGCACCTGGGGATCCCGTGTCTGCGGATATTTGTGAAATTGTTCTGAACACTGGGAAAGGCGGAACTCCCCATAAAACCATAAGGTACAAAAGCCGAAGTGGGCCATTCGGCCCATGAGTTCTGCTCCACCAGTCAATCAGATCTTCAGTGATAACCTGATTATCCTCAACTTCACTTTCCTGCCTTTTACCCATGATTCCACTTGATTCCCTTACTGATTTAAAAATCTGGGGTCAAGAATTTCAAAGATTCACCATCTTCTGAATGAAGAAATTCATCCTCACTTCAGTCCTAAACGATTTGCTGTTTATTCTGAGGTTGTGCACCCCCTGGTTCTAGGCCCCAGTAGCCAGCTAAGGCATCTTACTGCATTGACCTCTTAAGAATTTTGTATCTCTCAATGAGATATCTGTAAGAGAAGAAAGATCCAGTGTCCTCAATTTCTTATCCTAGGGCAGGCCTGTCATTTTGGGAATCAGTCTTGGGAAACACTGTTGGATTCCCTTTGCACAAAATATTTCCTTCGTTGGTTAAGATGACTAAAACTGCACAGGATGGTCTCAGCAAAGGTCTATATAAATTGAAGGGAGATGCATTCAGGATTTGTTTCTTGAAAGCAATGTATTCACTTGCATTCAGAAAGTTGACTTTTTAAAGTTATTATGATCTCTTCTAATCCATTAGCAATGTAGGATTTCAGGGATACCCTGGGGTCTTTTATGCCTAGTGTATAAATGCAATAGAGGAAAATGTCATTTTTAATTTTCCTTTTTTCATTAAAATGATAATCCTGTTTCCTGGCGAGGGGCTGTTTATGCAACAGGCTCTGAATTTTGAGGAGTTTTAATTAGATTTTCATGGTGCAATTAAAGCAAAGTGCTGAAAACACTTGGCCAAATTGACAATATGTGGAGAGCAGAGGTGTTAACTTTCCTGATAACTCTTTGTCTTCACAGAGTCTTCAGCATTTTCTATTTTTGATTTTTTTTTTAGCATTTGTGGTAATTTCTGCTTGTTGCACTAATTCCACTCAGATTCTGCAATTTGCTTGTCCCCAAAATGGAATTCAGATCATTCAATGTGTTGGTCCATTCTGTTTGGAATTTGTATAATTAGTGGGCTTATGACTGATCCCTAATCATAGTTCTCATATTATTACCAATGCAATCTTGTTCAGTTTTCCAGATCTGTCACCCTAATGGGTTTGGCAAAGTTACCTTTTTTTTTTCTTTTAAATTGTGTACATCTATTTTCAGAGGTTGAATTGGGTCAGATTTGTTAGACTAAATTTCAACCAAGGGTGCTTGCACATGTCTGTTTGCTCTGACACCTGGGTTTGAAACCAATCCATTGTGTTGAACAGTTCTGCTATCCACAAAATGCTGGCAAACCTCAACAGCTCTCTCGGCATCTGTGAAGAGAGAAACAATGTTAGTGTTTAGAATCCAGTGTACTGACAGACTAGAAATTGATTTTCTTTTCCCCACAGATGCTGCCAGACCTGCTGAGTTTCTGTGATAACAAGGTGTAGAGCTGGATGAACACAGCAGGCCAAGCAGCATCAGAGGAGCAGGAAAGCTGACGCTTCCGGTCTGGACCCTTCAGTTCAGCATTGGCAGTTCCTACAATCTGCTAAGTTTCTGTAATGTTTTTTGGTTTTTTGTTTCAGATCTCCAGCATCTGCAGGTCTTTGTTTTAATTCAGTTTTGCTATCCAGTTGTGTCTCAATTGTGCAAAGTAGTCAACATCCTACCTTTCTGGTTTGGAAAACAAATGGTATCCTAGATGACCACACCAATGTAGGAGCAGAATTAGGCCATTCGACCCATGGAGTCTGCTCTGCCATTTGATCGTGGCTGATGTGTTTCTCAACATCATTCTCTTGCCTTCACCTTGTAACCTTTGATTCCCCTTACTAATCAAGAACCTATTTATCTGTTTTAAATACAATGCACAATTTTCTAGTGGTTGCTGAGAGGATAGTTTCTCTTGTGGGAGAGTTTAAAACTAGTAGACAGAGTTGTAAGGCAAAGATCTCCCAAATAAGATGGAAACCAGAATATTTTCTCTGGTTGTTAGTCTGTAGATTTCTCTTTTTAAAGCAGTGGAGGCAGAATCACTGAATCCTTTTGATGTTAAGTCAAAGTATATATAGAGTATAGACAAAATGTCAAGACCATCATTGATTCAAATGGCTTATTGCTGCTCCTAAATCAAATGCATGCTCATGTAAAAAAACTTCAGAATAGTACCAAAACCTCGAACATCTCAAATTAGGGTGATTGATTAAATAGGGATGCAACTATTTGACATATGCCTAACTGAGGTCACCATGTAGTAAAATATAAATTGTTTTTGCTTACAGATTAAAATTCAGTTGCAGTAAGCATATTTTTTTTGTTTTCAAGTTGTTTGTTTGTAGCCAAGTTGATTACTGTATAATTGTAAATTCTTTTAATCTTTGTGGGTCGCGTTGTGGCTCAGTGGTTAGCATTGCTGTCCAACAGTGCCAGGGACCTGAGTTTGATTCCAGCCTTGATAGATTGAGTGAAGTTTGCAGATTCTCCCTGTGTCTGCATGGATTTCTACAGAGTCCTCCCACAGTCCAAAGCTGTGCAGGTTAGGTGGATTGGCCATGCTAAATTCCCTGAAGCACCCAGTGATGTGCAGGTTAGGTGGGTTAGGTTAGCTGGTAAATGTGGGGTTATAGGGATGGGCTGGGTCTGGGTGGGATGCTCTTTGGAGGGACGGTGCAGACCTGATGGGCTGAATGACTTTCACTGTAGAGATTCTATGATTGTTCATGGTAATACAATATATAAAAATTCACTGTTAACTGATGATTGGTTAGCTTTTGACCTAAAGAGTAATATCTTTCCTTGTAGACAAAAACATTTCTCGTCACAATGCGTTTGGTCATTCTAGAAGACTATGACAAAGCCAGTGAATGGGCAGCCAGATACATTTGCAATTCAATTGTTCAATTTAAACCTGGCCCAAGCCGATATTTTACTTTGGGTTTACCCACAGGTATGTATTTCTTTTTCAAGTTTGAGACCGTTGCCAAAATCAACTGGTATTTGAATACCCTAACAGCAGAATTTAAAATGATACTTTAAAACATTCAATGTAGAAATGTTGCTGTAACACTTTATAGTGAATCAATATATTCCATATGAAGTCTGTTGATACTGGGAACATTGCAGCCAAGAATGATAATGACTGTGACTGACCAGACTATTGCTGGCTACAAGAGATCTTTTCTGGTCTTGGGGATGCCTGTTTAAAATTTGATCTGTAATCTGTCATCTCCAAATATCCGCTGTCCACATTATGAATTGCTTTAAGTTCTGCTCAACATAGCCTCTTGATTGAATTCACTGGTTTCCAATCTCTCAATTACTGTCTGCTAAAATTTGCATGCTTGTATTAAATCTCTTCTTGGTCTCACCCTTTCACAACTCTTATTTCGTCCAGTTCTTTCATTGATCTCTTGGACTTTATTTCTTTGACTCGAGCCTCCAGCAAGTTAACCCATTTAATTTCCCCACTCAAATTGTTGGCCTTACCATTGGCTCTGCCTTTAAGTGCTTCAGATCGCTACTCTGAAATTTACTCTGCCAACTTCTCCACTTCCTCAGTGTTTCTCCTTTGAACAAAATCCTTGCCTCCCTCCTAAAAGCTCCTTTGATTTGGATTCAGATATCCTTCTGTGAAGAGCCATGGGTTATTTTTCTTTGAAACAGCTGTGAAAATGTAAACATTTAATTAATGTTTAATTATTCTTATTGGTGTGACTGATAGATAACTCAAGTGATTTTACATTTCAGATTTAAACTTTGCCATTTCATGTAGTATTAAATAAACTGCTAGCACATCAAATGACAAAGCAAATCTGCAGGACTGAATAGCCTGATACTGCGCCTAAATTTTCTGTTCAGTTATGTTTTGAAATGCATTAATAGATGACAGACTTGTTGCTCAGTTGCTGGTGCACTTCCTTGCACGAGATCAGGGCTCCCTAAATTTTGAGTCAAGCTCCAGCTGAGCATTAACAGCTGCATGGCCTCTTTTAAATCCTCTTAATAGTAGGCAAGGACCGCCTAGCAAGCCTTTGAACCCAGACTTCTGTTTTGCAAAATTACAAAATAGGTGCTTTTCTTAAACATTTGTAGGTTAAACAACACACCCCTTCCTCCCCCCAGTAAGTATCATGGGTCTCTGAATTCTCCCAACAACTGAGGTCGTTGATCCCCACCTCTATATCTGTTGTTCAACCCCTCCTCTGTTACTGATCTTCAAACACCTGCACGCATGCATTTGCATTTCTCAAGCACCAATGTGTTACACCTGGCTGCAGGGGTCAGGGTTAGGGGACACAGTCTCAAAATAAGACATTTAGGAATGAACTAAGGAATTTTGTTACTTGGAGGATCATGATCCTTTTGATGTTTATGAAACTTGTCTGCCACAAAAAAAAATTTCAGCACTCCAATTATTCAAATACCAATGAACCCAAAAATACTTGAGCATAAAGATCTGTGGGTGGGTGGTTGTATCAGTTCTTGGCTAAGGTTTTTAGAATGGGGAGGAAGGATTACAAAAAGCTTGTCCACAAATTGCTGTGGTTTCAGGAAATCCAATTTTGCAGATGATTGTTTTGTTGAAACAAAACCTCCATACAGTATCAACATGTTATAACAAATGATAAGTGAATGAACATGTCTGCACATGGATTAGTTACTTATTTGGGTCAGATGTAATATTTTGCATTGGTGTAAAATATTTGTTTTTGTGTTTCGAGAAATGAAACTATTGATTTTCTTTTTGTTGTCACATGTACTGAGGTAGTGAGAAGTGTTTTACCAGCTGTATGCCAGTTAACTTGTAGGTAGTGATGGTATTTATACTACTTGCAGTTTTCCCTAAATAACAGAACCAGCAGAAGTTGATGATCATTCTGTTTGTGTTGTCTTTTTAGTTGCGCTGCCTAGCTCTTGACCTGTAGCCTTGTTTTTATGAATATCTACTACTAATCTTTTGAAAATTACAAGTAAATTTGCTGCTTGCTTCCTCCTTTTCAGGAAGTGCAAAATGACTTGCTATGTTTTATATAGTAAGATTTATCTTTCATTTGAGTTTCCTGTTATTGACTCTTCTGTTAGTAGAACCACTTTCTCTCTACTTACTCTTTCAAAACCTTTCATGATTTTGAACACCACTATTTAAATCTTGCTGTTTCCGCTGCTTTAGTGAGAACTATTATATTTGCTTGCTTTGTTTACATGAACTCGCCAATCAAGTACACAGGATTTTTAACCTATAATGTAGATTGTTGTATATGTTTGTACTAGTTTTTAAATAAGATAGAGGACCTCAACAAACATCTAACCAAAAGATTTAACATGCTGAATGCCTGTTCATCTCATACTTTGCGTATTCTCAAAGTGCAATAACAGCTTCCCTTTATTCCCTAAACCTATTGCTTATAACAGATCATAATGTTACTTTGGTTAGTTTGCATCTTGGTCAGCAATTCATCTGAGAATTGATGTTTTGAGTTGACTTTTTGGGTTTACACAGAATGTCTAGTGCTGTTGATCTTATTGACAAATTCGAGGGACAGACTTTAACTGGATTGGGAGAAACAGGTACAGGATTCCAAAATGATGCATGCAAGTGTGACTCAGCACTGCATCAATCTAGCTTCATTTTGATGTTACCTGCAACTTGCTATGAATCTGACTTGTATTCCTTACCGTAAGAGCTAGATCAGACTGTCAATTTAGATCAAAGATAAAATGTATAAACATTGTTTAGGGGCAAAAATCATTAGACTCGAGTACATTGTAAAGCAGTTGTACGCTTGAGAGCACAGATTTTTCATAATAAGTTATCCTTCCGGATGAGACAAAAGTCTAATGTAGGCATTCCTTTTCTCCCTCTGCTCCTTAACAGGTAATTTATGCTTTGTCTTTAAGTGTCAAACATGCTATTCTAATTTATAGTCCTATTCAAATAGCTGCATGTGATTTCTGTTCCATACAAAACTGTGGTAACAAACTAGGTGGTATTATTGCAAAATCATTCATTTAGTTTCTGTTATATACAGTTTTTATCTAACTGCATTTTGGTTGCTTGGTGGATAGATTTGGGTGAAACTTGATGCATGTGGAATATGGGAGAGGCTGGTGGCTATGTTGCATGTGTGGCTGCCTACTATTGGTGACAGGGTGGGACTAAAGAACACTGGAAATGGACTGAACAAAGTTGCTCTGCTTGGTGGGCTTAAGTAATTAATACGAATGTCATAGGAAGGGATGGTTATTGTCGACAGCAAAGTTAGCTGGTGGAGAGTGATTAGGAGGGGTTGGTGGTAGAAGTAGAGCGGAAGGTGTTGCAAGGTTGGTATAGTATTTATGGATTGGAAGGCATGATTTTAGGATTTGATTTTTGTAAAATGATAGGGGAAGAGTGTGTGGTCCCTTTAAAAGATGTGTTTTTAAGGCTTGGAGATTTAAAAAAAAAAAAAATGTCTGCAGGCAGCAGCAGATGCACAGAGTTCTTGAAACTGAATCATTGTATCAAAACACTATACTGTTAGCAGGCAAAGCAGCACTTTTACCAACACAACAGGTTTTTGAATTTGGCCAAAGATACCAAAGCCGAATTAAATGTAAGTCTGATGGATTGGTCTGAGGTTGTCAAAAACCTATTGTAAGAAATTAATAAGTCGTCAAGGGTATAAAAGTAGAGGGCATTTTGAAAATTGGTGTGAGAGTCAACTATCATCTGCCAAGAGAACACCTCTTGGCTATAAAAGAGAGTATCACTGGCTCTCACAGAAGTCTCTATGCTCTGAGTAAGCACCATCTAAATAAAGGTACTGCAGCACTCTTAGCTAATGTTCCTGATACAAATTCGACAGAGGAATGTGTTCCTGACTGGAGAACAGTAAGTATAAAAGGCAAAGAACGTTTGGAAGACTTATACTGGCTGTAATTTTGAGAGACTTAAGTTTTTTTTAACTTAGTTTTGGTTTATGTAAGTGGGACTTCTGTTTATTCGAACAGCACACCTTTAGAATTTTGTTTTATTCGGGAATAGGTAGTAGTTAAGGGGGAATTGTTTGGTTTGTTAGTAGTTCTGTTAATTTGTTTACTGTTAGAGTTAGGTAAATTGTTACTTGTTGATTGTAGAGTGACTGTAAGGAGTTTGCTTTATTTCACTTCCCCTCTGTAACAAAGGTAAGTTGAGCATCTGTTACCCAAACGAGCTGGATTGAGGAAAGGGGTGAATGGATAACATTGGAGGAGACATCGAATGACATAAGGCAAAGACTACATGGTATGGAATAGTAGCTAAAGAATAGAATGGAGGGGACGGAATTAGGAAGAAGCTGGAATTTGAATGATATCCAAAATACAAAAGTAATGGCACAGTAGAGATAGTGGGGACTAGTGTTGCAATAATTTAATAACTGTTTTTAGTCTCTGCTAGTTCAGACTTGAATATTTATTTCTGTTTTGTTACTTATCCTCATTTAGGGAGCACACCTGCTGGGTGTTACAAAAAGCTGATTGAATATTATAAGAACGGTGACCTCTCTTTTAAATATGTGAAGACGTTCAACATGGATGAATATGTTGGTAAGTGTCTCATTTGCTTTGAAATTTGCTATAGAAAAATTCTAAATGTATTTTAAAACTTCAAGTAGAAACTTCAGCTTAGATGAAAAATGAGTTAGAAATCCTGTTGAATTCAATTTCTATGTGAAGCTTTGAAATATATTTAGGCAAAATAATAGTTTACATAGAAAATAAAGAATTGCACTGAAAATTACCATTAAACTTTGGTTATTTGGTAGTCCAGAACTTCAGTATTGCTGGAAGACATGTTTTTGTCAAATATTTTGCCTTTCACTAATCAGGACAGTTAGTAAAGTTACCAATTCAAGAGGAAAGCCAACATAACCGCTGCATGAGAGGAGAATGCTGATTGGTTGACAAGTAAATGTTAATTGGTAGAGCATTGCCATGGAGATAGTACTGACTGACAGTTAACTACCAGGATCTGTTTAAGCTATAAACCAGGAAAATAAAATATCATTCTTTTATGAGGAACTTTTATAAAAAATAAGTTGAAATTCACTTATTTTTACTCATGACAAAGTGCGTCAGTCTTCCAGGCAGGGGATACATCAGTGGGAGAATGGAAAGTATGAGACCTAGTTCACGTGGCGGCTGCTGCTGAGCAATCTGTGTTAATCCTATCATAGGATAAGGTATCTGGTAGTACTGTTTAACCCATCATTAAAGGATACAAAGGTTCATTTTGTGCGATTAGATGTTGGGGATCAGAGGTTAACTCGTCAGATTCCAGTCTCATTCATGACTGAAACTTAGTGATGCTGAAACCAGAGGACATTCGGTGCAGATCTGAAGTTTGTTACAACTGATTGACACTGAGTTTTGCAGATGTGGGCTGGTTGGTTACAATTAGTGTGTTGCTAGTTGCAAACAGCTGAAGGTATGTGGTGTTGAATTAGTAATTATTTCCCCCTGCCCCGCCACTACCTCCAATATATAGCCTACATATCTGGCATCACAGAACTGTTTCACATTCATATCCCACAAGGGCTGTTTGCCATTAATGGAATGCCGCCATCAAGCCAATAAAAAATACTCATTTGATACTCATTATCAAATGAGTAATATGGTAAACTAACTTGTTATTCTGCAATTGTACAACATTTGTTGGATCATCCTGAGTGTGCAAAGCATGACTAATTTAGTGTTGTCAGTCGGGTTTGCTGTCGTGCACTTGCATATACTGGAAGCTACATGCGTTAATGCACAGGACCCTGTTCTTTGCAGGCACGAAGAACATTTAGACACACCGCACATATTTCAAATCGACAAAATAGGAGACAGCCGTTTTTGTTTCATTTCTCTGGATAAACCTCAGTCCAATCAGGGTTAACATTTTTTCTATTCATTTTGGGGCATGTGGGCGTTGTTTGCTGGCCAGCATTTCTTGCCCATCCCTAGTTGCCCTTGAGAAGGTGGTGGTGTGCTGCCTTCTTGAACCGCTGCATTCCTCCTGCTGTGGATTGACCCACTGTGCTATTAGGGAGGGAATTCCCGGATTTTGACAGTGACAGTGAAGGTACGGCGATGTATTTCCAAGTCAGGATAGTGAGTGACTTGGAGGTGGTGGTGTTCCCATATGTCTGCTGCCCTCGTCCTTCTAGATGGAAGTGGTCGTGGGTTTGGAAGGTGCTGTCTGAGGATCTTTGGTGAATTTCTGCAGTGCATCTTGTAGATAGTACACACTGCTGCTACTGAGCGTCGGTGGTGGAGGGAGTGAATGCTTGTGGATGTAGTGCCAGTCAAGGGGGCTGCTTTGTCCTGGATTGTGTTCAAGCTTCTTGAGTGTTGTTGGGGCTGCACTCATCCAGGCAAGTGGGGAGTATTCCATCACAGTCCTGACTGTGCCTTGTGCCTTGTAGATGGTGGACAGGCTTTGAGGAGTCAGGAGTAATTCTTTGTACAGTCAGGATGAGCATCTTCAGCACTGCTGTGAAGCTAGGTGTGTGGGCTGTTAGTCCCAAAGATGGCGAAGGGAATTCTATGCAGTAGTGTGTCCCTTCAGCTGTTTGCAACAATCAAGGTGCTGATAGTATCCAAGCAGCCCACAGTTCTAAAACTCTGTGCCATGCAATTGTTGCAAACTTCAGACCTGCAGTGAACACACTCTGGCTTCAAGATCATTAAGTCTTGCCGTGAATGAACCTTGAATCTGTTTGAAGCATTTACCTGTGCTACGTGATTAGATAATCGTAAAAAATGAACCTTGTATCCTTTTATGATAGGTTGAACAGTATTCCTGATATCTCATGATAGTGTTAATACTGGGCATTGTTCCCCAGAAGCCATGTGAGCTAGATCCCATGATTTTAAATTTTCCTTCTGTCTGGAAGGCAAGCTGATGCACTTTGTCAGGAATAAAAATGTAAATAAATTTCAACTTATTTGTATGAAAGCTGTCAAAGCATGATTTATTTTACCTTTAATGTGAATTTTCAATTCTGGCACACTTTTTTGTTGTGGCAGCTGAAGTTCTGGGGAAAAAAAAATTGATAGCTGTCAAGAGTTTATATAAAATGGATGGATTGGAGTACAGCGAGGGTGAATTTTGAAAGAATAGAGTACGCATACAAAATAAGTAATTCTTCAATCCTATGAGATTTTAGGCAATGGAGATACTAAACTAAAAACAAAGCGCTGGAGAAACACGAATTCTGACAGCATCTGTGGAGAAAGAAATATAATTAATATTTTGAGTCCGTTATGAATCCTCTTTGAAACTGAAGTGGGCTGGAAAATCATGGGCAGTTGACACATGGGGAAGAGAAGCAAGTGGAACGGATGGTGAAGGTGTTCAAAGCAAAAGACTGTAGAATGCTAAAGAGAGGAAAGGAAGACAGTTTAATAGTATCTTGCTAGCGATCATGCAGATAGGTTGTCCTGGTCCACTCCCCTTCACTCCTGACAATTCCTCACTCATATTTCTTCTCTCTTCCCCTGTCCAATGCAATCACAGATGGCACTTGCCTTTTTACTTCCTCACTGTTTAAGACCCCAAACACACCACCAACATGAAAATGATTTACTTGTACTTTGTAGTGTCTTTGTTTCTCCCTTATTTGCAAGCCCTTTGTCTTTTGCTTAGGGAGTCCTTGCCATCCATTCCAAATGGTGGCTGCTCTCCCTCTATCAACAGCGTAAAAATATAATTTTCCAGCCTCCTTCAGTTCCAAAGATGAGTCATAATGGACTACATGTTAATTTTTTCTCTCTCTCTCCACAGATGCTGAGTTTCTCTAGCACTTTATTTTTATTTAAAATCTCTAGCATTTATTTATTTATTTATTTCCTTTTCATCTTCAAATTTTCATATTTAAATTCTTTATTAATGCCTATTTGCTTCAGATGTCACTTCTTTCCAGAAGAAATGTACATTACAGATTTGCTGTGTAGATATTTACTAAAGCTATGGTAAAATTTAAAGGAAAGTATAAGTTCTGAGAATGTGTAGTAGTGTATTTTGTAGTGTTTTCACTTGTTAAAATGGAAGACCTTTAGTGTCCACTTGTTACAGCCCATGCAGCAATGGACATTGCACTGTAGGGATTCTGTGATTCAGATAAAGGCTATTTGGCCCATCAAGTCTGCACCGACCTGCTGAAGAACATCCCACCCAAACCCAAACCCCTATCCTATCCCCATAACCCCACATTTACCATGGCTAACCTACCTAATATACACATCCTTGGATACTATGGACATTTTAGTATGGTCAATCCACCTAATGTGCACATCTTTGGACTGTGGGAGGAAACGATGGCACCCAGTGAAAATCCATGGCAGACATGGGGAGAACACGCAAACTCCACACACAGTCACTCGGGCCTGGAATTGAATCTGGGTGCCTGGCGCTGTGAGGCAGCAGTGCTAACCACTGAGCCACCGTGCTGCCTGATGCCGACGCGCAAGTATCAAAGGCAGAAAACTTTATACTGCTTTGAATTGTTCGTATTCAACCTTTACAGTTCTTTTAAAAATGCTCTGAATGTGAGTTCTGCCAAAGTAATGGCTTTTTTGAGAGGTTGGGGGTGTGGGCATGTTGCCATTCCTCTCAATGGTTTACATACTTTACCTTTCCTCAAGAAGACCAATGTAGAGTATACACACTTTTTGCTTTTATAAACCAATTGTTTCCAACTGTTTACTTGTATGTAAAATGTACAAAATCAATGTTGTGGCTTTACTTGGACGTTTTCATTTTGAAAACAAGTTTCATTTTAATTTTGGCACTTAGCACTTCCGAGGGATCATCCAGAAAGCTACCACTCCTATATGTGGAATACCTTTTTCAAGCATATTGATATAGACCCAAAGAATGTTCATATTCTTGATGGCAATGCACCAGATCTGCAGGCAGAGTGTGATGCATTCGAACAGAAGATTGCTGAAGCTGGAGGAATTGAACTGTTTGTTGGAGGTATGATCTGTGTGCAACTGTATATAAAGACCACCATTAAAAATTGCAAATGGATATTATAGAGTTAAAGCATGTTGCTGACAAAATAGAAGCTGCAGCTTTTATATAGTATGTGAAACCTTTACTGAAACAAACCTATTAATATTTGTCCTTGAGCTGAACTGTATGATTTAGTGTTACCTTGTGCAAAATGTCTTTCACAGCTATTCTAATAGAATTTGTTTAAAATTTCATTAAAGAAAGTTGAAATAGTGGCCTTTTTTTTGTTTATGGCATTCCAACTAAGCTATTCATGTCAGTTCGAAGTCATTGTAGTTCTGGAAAAGGGTCAGGAGCGAATGGTGTGGCTTTCTGCAACAGGATATTGGGAAAAGTGCGCATTTTGATTTGATCTACATGTGCTGTTTGATGTCCTTAGATTTGCTTTGTTTGCATGTGAAGACAGTAAACATGTTCAAGCCATTGCTAGTATGATAGATTTGAAGTCTATGATTAATAAAACTCTGAAATTTGTATCCTAACTAATAGTGTAAATAGGTAAGAGTTTAGAGTGTTTTACATTGAACAAATAAGCTACCATCTCTCCCTGCCTCAATCATAACCAATTCAGAAAATTAAGCAGCCCATTATTTTCTGCAAAAAGACTTGAACAAAGTTCAAGTTTGGGGTAATAAGTTGTAAGTAACATTTAGGCCACTCAAGTGCCAGATGGTCACCACCTTGATCAAGCAGTCTAGTCACCTTTTGACCATTTGGTGGTATTACTGTTGACAAATCCACACTTGCCAATGTAATGGATTCATCGTTGGCCAACGTTCAACTTGCCTAGACCAGCCATACACATTCCCTAATTACTAGAGCATGTCACTAGCTGCAGCCTCTGGCTGACCGACAAACTCTCAGTACCTCTCCTTTTGTGATGGGTTTGTGTTCCCTAGAATTTAAAATGAGAACTGATCTGATTGAAACGCACAACTCCGGGGCTTGGTAAGATAGATGCTAGAGCGATGCTCCCTTGTGTGGGGAGTTTAGAAATAGGATTTTCATTGTCATGGTGTAAGAAGATTCAGGACTGAGGTGGAACATTTCTTCACTGAATTGGCAAATCAGGGCAGGACTTGTACATTTAATGATAGGGCCCCGGAGGGTGTTGCCAAACAGAGACCTTGGGGTGCAGGTTCAAAGTTCTTGAAGGTGGCGTCACAGATAGACAGGGTAGTGAAGAATGCATTTGATACACTTGCTCAATTCACTGACCAATAAAGGCATAGATGTTGCGGCTGTACAGAACATTGGTTAGGCTACTTTTGGAATACTGCTTTCAAATCTGGTCTCTCTGCTATAGGAACAATGTTGTTTAAACTTGAAAGGGTTCAGAAAAGATTCCCCAGGATGTTGCTGGGGTTGGAGGGTTTGAGCTTATAAGGAGAGGCTGAATTGGTTGGGCCTATTTTCCCTAGAGTGTCAGAGGCCAAGGGGTGACTTTATAGAGGTTTATAAAATCATGAGGGACATGGGTGATTAGCCATGGTCTTTTTCCCAGGGTAGGAGAGTCCAAAACTAGAGGGCACAAGTTTAAGGTGGGAGGGGAAAGATTTAAAAAGGACTTGAGGGGCAACTTTTTCACGGTATGTGTGTGGAATGAACTGGTGGAGGCTAGTACAATAGCATTAAAAGGCATCTCGATGGGTACATGAACAAAAGTTCGGGGGGGTGGTATGGGCCAAATGCTGCCAAATGGGACTAGATTAATTTAGGATATCTGGTTGGCATGGACGAGTTGGAGTGAAGGGTCTATTTCCGTGCTGTATGTTTCTATGACTCGGTTGATCTTTGAAATTCTCTCTCCCAGAGAGGTAAGGATGCTCCATTGTTGAAGACAGCGCAATCAATTTTTGTGTAATAAGGGAATTATGGGAATATGGCACAATGAGTATCTGGGGTAGAAGATCAAACGTTGTTATTGAAAGTATTTTGGTTTCAATGATAGCTGTTGTTATTTGAGTGCTTGTCTTCAAAGCACACACCAGGATTGAAATGGGACACTGCACGTGGTTGAATATATGCATTTGCAAAAACACAAGCAACCCACTTGATCAACCTTCATCTAGTAGCTTGAACATACATTGTCTTCTCCACTGTCATTCCTTGGCTAAAGTTGATAGAATTCACTGCACATAGATTGCTTCAGCACCTCCATACCCATGACTTCTGTTGCCCAGCAGGGCAACAGCAACAAGTGTGACATCTGAAGAAGCCCTGTTGAACTCGGTGTTATTATTTCTCATTCTCCACTCTATTGTATTGCATAGGTCTCAAAAGCACCATACCTGAAGACAGCTGCTTAATATTGTGACGTGTGATACTAGAGAATGAGAAGTTGTAATCTTAAGGTCCACATGTTCATTTTTGATTGGCTAGTTGCCTAAGTAAAGGTGTATTATATAATGTAATAGTCATCGAAAGCACATAATCCAGACTGTAATATGCCAGTGTGAGATCTCCTCTATTGGTGTATATAATGGTTGTTAATATACCTAATACAAATTCAACTTGGTGGTACATGTTACCTGCACTGCTGTAGAATAGCATAGATCACAGATTTATGATGTGCTCACCGCAGTGGCAGCGAGTTTACTGCAGTTGGTAACAAGTTGAACCAAAGTAGCAGTTGTGAGACGTCCTTTTCTTAACAGTAATTCTTTTACCATAGCTGAAGTTGGGTTTTAACAACCATGGCTGAAAGCTACAGTTACAGTGAAGCAAGAAATAGTTTGAGTACTCTCTCTCTGTTTTGAAAAAACACAGCTGAATCAATATTTTAATAAGCTTTTAAAAGGTGCTGATAGGGTAACTCCAACCAATTGCAGCAAACTACACTTTGCCCATCTGAACAAGCAAGCCTTGGTTTAACATATCCAAAAGACAGCATCTCAACAGTCCAGAGCTCCCCCAGTGCTAAATGATGAACTTGAGTCTCTAGATTGGGACTTCAACCAACAAGCTTTTGACTTTGTTAAGACCCTCTAAGCCACATTTGAGACAAAACGTATAGAAAGTTTACAAAACCTTTTTTCGCCTTGATTTATTTGGTATGTGATAAGCTGGCTGAATTCCCTTTTTTATTGCTTGCAAATATGATGTTACTAGCACATTTGCAAACTACCGTCAATGCTGATGAACGCTACTTTATTGTTGAACGTCGTACTGGGTAAACATTTTTTGGATTATCAGAATTAGAGAAATATTCAATTTGATAATTGTACTGCAGGACATGTACTCATAATTGTTTTGTGCCATTTTAAAACTGATTTATTGATCCAGCATTTAAACATGTCAATGTTTTGAATCACTTCCAATAGTGTAACAATTACTGTATTATGTTAATGCTCACCCGAAAGTACATTATATTGTTTATAGAATGAAGTTGGACTTTTATGAAATTTGTTTCTTCCAGGTATTGGTCCTGATGGACACATTGCTTTCAATGAGCCTGGATCAAGCCTGGTATCAAGAACAAGGGTGAAAACATTAGCCAAAGAAACTATTCTGGCAAATGCAAGATTTTTTGATGGTGACTTGTCAAAAGTACCTACCATGGCATTAACCGTAGGTGTTGGAACAGTAATGGATGCTAAAGAGGTGATGTATAGCATGACAATACTATGGCTTTAAGAGGTGTATATTGTCCTGGCTCTCTTTATGAAGAGAGGTTGAGGTAGGGGTAACGAGTAGTCTGTTCCCAGCCAATAAAGTAAACAAGTTGAGGCCTTGGATTTTATTGTTAAATTTGGAACAATAGAAGCAGCATGAAGGGGCGGGGCCAGTTGCGCACTCGCTGCCCTCTACTATGGCGCGCCCCCCCCCCCCAGTCTCGGAACCAGGATCGCTTGATGTTCTTTCCTCCTGGTTTGGAGAATTACATAAGAGACAATTTGTTTTACTCCATTTGCCTTTGCTAAAGGTATGTTTATGGGATGTTACTATATTGGAATAGTTGCTATTTAGTAGTTAAATAGTCTGTTAAGATTTCCAGTAGAGTTAAGTTATTTTAATTCTTCTTTCGTTCTTTTGCTTGTATTTTAATTAAAGTGTAAGAATAACGTGTGTTTTGCTTCAAGCCTGGTAGTTTGACCAATCAAATTGCATCCAGAATACATAGCCTCACATTTGCCTTTAAAAGTAAGAAAAAGTTGGGGTCTAGGCTATCTTAATATATTTTAAGGGGGTTGGTCTTGCCCATAACAGTGGTTATAAATTATTGGAAGATTGTGAATTATCATGGTAGTTTAGAATTCCATTATGTTGCACTGCTTTGAGGTGCACTTGGATGCAGAGCAACCATTTAATTATTGGCTGGTTTGTGAGGAGCTCAACAGTGGATTCCACTTCACGCTAGAAATGGTATCTACTGCAAAGAAAGCAGAGAAGGTAAAATGCTATTTCTTGAAAACCATGTTTTCAAGGGTTAGGCATTCTTTATCTTGGAATCATACAGAAGTATTTCAATTGGGTAAAATGCAAGCAAACTTGTGGTTTAACAACTTGGCCTTTTTTTTTATCAAGGAATGCTGCATTGTATGTGGCTGTATTCTGTATTTTTGAAGTCGAAGTCATAGTCATGAATTTGCATTTTTTTGTCTCTTCCCCAGATAGTTCCTGACCAAATTTTATATCTGGTCATAAAATGGACTTTTGAACATTATAGGGAAATATACCAAACAGATCTTCATCTGAGCAATAAATTCTAGAAAAGTGCAAACAAAATCGCTGACTGCTATACATGCCCTTTTGCAATTCTGAAAAGTCTCTGACTTTGGCCTTCAAAGGCTGAGTTTGTGTGAAATTTGTCACCATCCTCTACTTAGTCAACAATGACATATACAATTTGTGATTCTCGCCATTTCCTGTCTGTGTGTACATTGAAGCCATTTGAGACTTTGGAGCTGCACAATTTTGTTGGATCCGTCTTGCAGTATTACTATGACAAACATTTGCTATGTTGAATGCTTGTTCCTAGGAATGATGATTTGGGAGAACAGCCATGAGCAGTTCAGTATCAATGTGTTGAAACATGTTTTCAAAAGGAGTAGGAGTAGTTTGAGAAAATACAATTATTGAAATTCAGTAGTTGCAAGAACTGTTAATCTAAAAATGGAAATTTTACTCTTGTGTAGCATGTTTCCCAATTACCAGAGTAAACGATCATAAATGAAGTATATCTAAAGTTTCTGGAGAAGCAAACCAATCAGCTGGAAGCCCTTGTAGTTGGAACTAGCCACACAGAAAAGTAAGTGTTTTAGGTCTCATGAAAGGAAGCAATAGGAATTGAGTAGAAAGACTTCAAGAATTGTAATCTTTAAATGTATTACCCATGCTGTGTGATAATGAATATAGACTAAAGGAGACAAGTGCGTGGCTAGAGATAAGGTTGCCTTTCCATAAGGATTCTTCTGATCACCTGTTTTTTATTTTGGAATTACCTTCTTATTTTCCAAAGAATTATTTTCTTTGGAATAATCTTGCAACTCTACATTGAAAACCAATACAGGTAATTTATGTATTATTCCAAGTTTTTCATGGTTCTTTATGGCAGGCACATGGTTGAGAGAACTTCTCCATTATTGATTTCCACAGTTTGGAGAGGAAAGGTTCATAGGATTTTAGGACTTTGGTTGCATTATCAAAAAGGGGATCTATATCTGACCAACTTTGACGCACATCAAAAACAACTTGCATTTATGTAGTGTCTTTAAGGTTAACATTTGTCCTCTGGTATTTTAGAAATACATGCAATAAAATGGTTTTCAACCCAAAGAGGGGGGTGGGGGGGTGGTGGTTACTTCCTAATTGCTGTTCACACACTTAAATAATCCTTAAAATAAAAGGGAATTAAATTATCTTATGAACAATTAATTCTACTTGGAGGAAAATAATTCTTCAATCTAAGTATAATCTCCAAGCTCCTTTTTTTCTTTAACCTCCCCTTTTTAATTTTACTCCCTCATGATTATTACATTAATCACTGGAATCAAATCTCTGAGACAATATAGTACAAAATCTAGTTTGTAAATTGTATGTCAATGAATAACCTGATTTTAAGAGGCTTACAATTGATTTGGTGGCATGAGCTATAGAGAAGGGATTTTATGATTGGCATTGTCTGATCATTTGAGAAGCAGGTCTGGTTGATCTTCATTCAGTTGAATATTGTTTTTTTTTTTTTGCCCAAATGCTATTACATTAATGGAACTGTGAATACAGTTTTATATATAAACTTTGCTTTGATTTAAAATAAAAATGTTGTGAAGATGAACAGAACTAAATTTCATGGAGCTCAATTATTCTTGACACTTGTGTTTGTAGGTTATGATTCTCATCACAGGAGCGCACAAGGCATTTGCATTGTACAAGGCAATCGAAGAGGGAGTAAATCATATGTGGACCGTTTCTGCCTTTCAGCAGCACCCACATACCACCTTTGTTTGTGATGATGATGCTACTTTGGAGCTTAAAGTTAAAACAGTGAAGTATTTCCAAGGTAGGTAGAGATGCTCAAAATAAAAGCTGGGGACTGTTTAACCTATTTTTCTAACCAATCTGTTTAAGTACGTTATTACACACCTCTGAAGCAGGTCGGACTTGAACTCAGGTCTTGGTCCAGGGGTAGGGACATTACCACTGTGCCACGAGGGCTTCCAGCATAATATTTTTAAAAGTTGTGCAAATTAAGTGTTGATGTCTTCAAGAGTCTTTGGTGTGTTCATGTAGAAATTGCAGAAAATATGCAGGTGCAGCAAACAATTAGGAAGGCTAATGGCATGAAGCCCTTTATTGCAAGGGGTTAGGAGTACAGGAATAAAAATGTTTAGGATGATCTCATTAGACAGACAAATAATTATGATCCATTGATGCACAATTCTACTAGTTAAAACTCTAACCATCTTAAAACTCATCTGATAGATGCATGCATGCAGATAGACTGATATGGGTGGAGGGAAAACTGGAAAGGTAGTTCAATGATTTCTGTCCACAGCGTTCGCTCAATACTCATTTTGGCTTGCCAGGACTTGTTTGGCGATCTAATCTCTTCCCCAAGTACTTGCACCTGCCTACGGGAGACATTGAGTGACTGTTTGACAAGTTGTAAAGTTTCTGACTTACTGGTTAAAATCAATAGCTTACAGCGACTGGAGAGAAATTAGCTTGCTTCTGGCTTTAAGTATTTTTTAGTGCAGAGACAGACACCTGTTTTCCGGAGGTCTGAAGGCTTAGAGTGGTGGCGAATCAGTGTTCTTACAAAAATTTTTTTTGGTCCCTGCAGGTCATCAAATATCTTATCTGTTTGAATCCCATTTGGCTGTAGTCTTGCATGCTGTGGTGTTTCAAGTGTTCCCCTAAATAGTTAAATATCTTGATGGTTCCCACCTCTAGCACCATTTTTAAGCAGTGAGTTCTAGATACTCCCCATCTTGCTTTTTTTTTCCCCTCAAATCCACTCTTAAATCTCCTGTTCCTTACTTTTTTAAAGCTGTACCCCTGGTTTTTGACACCTCTGCTGAAGGGAAATATTTTCTCCCTGTCTATGCCCCTCTTTGTACAGCTTCACCTGGTCCCCCCTCAGCCTTTCCTGCTATAAGGCAAAACCAACCCAAGTCTGTCTAGTCCCTCTTCATAGATAAATCGCTCCATCCAGGCAACGTGCTGCAGAAATTTGGTAGTAGCATCTTTCTTGCCATGTGGTGACCAGAACTGCACACAGTACTCCAGCTGAGGCCGAACTTGTGTTATATACAGCTCTATCATTATGATCTTGTTTATTTGGTGCCTTGACTAATTAAGGTATGCATCCGAAATAGCACATTATTTATCTGTCCTGCTACCTTCAAGGTTGCTGTGATCCTCTATGCTTCCTAGGGTCCTACCATTCAATGTATACTCCCTGGCCTTGTTATCTCTCCCACAATATTTCTCCACTCCACCCCACCACCTCCATTTTCATGATTAAGTTCCATTTGCCACTGTTCAGCCCATCTGACCATATCATCCTGTAGTCGAAGGCTCTCCTCCTTGCTATTTATCATCTGAGCAATTTTTGTCATCTATGAACTTGCTGATCATACCTCCTAATTTGTGTCTAGGTCATGACTGTACACTACAGACATCAAGGGACCAGCATCAAATTGTGTGGTATGCCACTAGACACTGGCTTCCAGTCATGCAGACACCCTTCGATTGTCATCTGCTTCGTGCCACTAAGCCAATTTTCTATCTAATGGGTTTGCAGCTTCTTAACCACTTGGCTGTAAGAGACCTTGTCAAAAGACTGATTTAATCCATGTACACTACATCAATTGCCATACTGTCATCCACACACCTCATCACTTTGCAAAATTAAACCCTGTTTTACATGTGATCTCCTACTGAAGTTATCCTGACTATCCTTGATTCATCCTTACCTCTTCAAATGGAAATTAATTCTGTCCTTGTGAAATTTTTCTGAACCTCTCGTCCTGTCCACAAGATTTTCGGCAATAGCATAATTGTTGGCAGGCAAAAGGCTTTTTTATTCAACAACTGGAGATCACTCCGCAGGCCACGTGGTCACATGTAACCGGTTGATTGTCTTTTGTGTATGCTCCCTGTTCCCAGTTCATTTACAACTAAACATCACTCTCTGATTGAACAAGCAATAACAACTGCTGGTAACTTGTTTCTAACAAATGTAGCAATGCCTTTCACACTTTTTGGATTTAAAACAGTCCTTTTCCCATTTTGGGTCACAATCAAAATTACGAAAATGTAAAATTATCCAGTCTTTACACTGCAGATGCCAGGAAAAATGTAAATCGCTTATTATTTTGTTGAACCAGGCAACGAATCAATCGCATGGTCCTCCACATATCAGAATGAATGTCCCTAAATGTGACTTGATATATAGTTCTTCCTATATATGCTTGCAGACTTTTGTAATGATTAGTAGTTTTGATTTACCTTTACTCCTATGACGCACTGAGGCAAATTTGTTAGATGTGATCATGTTTAATGCGTGATCAGAAAACTGCATGTAAAAAAAATCCATTAAATTGGTATTTTGTAAGCTTGCCTACTCATGAACATTTTTGTTTCTCATTAGGTTTGATGCACGTGCATAATCAACTTGTGGAACCATTGCACAGTATGAAAAGTTACAATGACTAAAAAGAAGAAAATGAATAGATACTTTCCTGTGATGTACAATTGATTAAAATTCCAAGGATTATGTTAAGTGGAATTCAATGCAACCTGATTTTATATTGACATGTTGCTGTAACTAAAACAACTAGATTTTTGTAAAAGTAATATTCAAAAACTCCAAGTCCCAAATTTCACTCTTCTTGTGTATTCTTCCTGCTCTGAAGACACTTGATCTCTTCCAAGTGTCCATAGCAGTGAAACCTTGCAAATCATAGGCATAAACAGAACAGAAGCAAGAATAATCCATTAGTATATGCAAAGAATAATTCCTTTCTTTACAGTATATTGTGAAGATCATTGCAAATTTGTGAAGATTGTTGCCTCAAAGCCTTGTTCTTCCCACTTATGAATAATAGAATGTGAGCTAAAATCTGTATGTAATATATTTTAAAGGCTTTCCAGTATTGTTTCCTTAGCATTTGAAATTTTTGATTGAATATTTAAGTATCATTCGTTATTCCCTGCATTGAAAAAGCTATTGAAGAAATGGTCTTGAATCTATCTGGCAAAGGCAGATCAATAATTCAGTCTAACTAGTGTAATAAATTGTACATTCATGCATCCTCATCTGTCATAATTGCACAATTTTATTACTTTTGAACTATGTTCATTATTGGAATTAAGATTCCAAAGTGTAAGTCTTTCAAATGGTTTGGAAAATACATGTGTCATGAATATTTTGCAAGCTAAGTTTTTAAAACTTTCCATATCTGGTATAGATTTCTTGGTCACATTCCAAACATTTATTGCTTCACTAGCCCATTTGTTCTTTCATTACACGGTAATGACTGCTGCTTGTATTCTGTGTACATTGTACTATTAGGGCATTGATGTGAACTTTGGTATTTTAATCATGAATTCAGTTTCAACTGTATTGTCACTAAGTCTCCATATGATTTGCTTCTAACCATTAAAAACATAATTTTGAAAAGCTATTTATGCTTTTTTAATTAAATAACTTGAGGTGCCAATAACAAAAGCATCTAATGTACTGTGGGATCATTTCATTTACATTTCGGTTGGATTATTTCAGAAATTCTAATTTGGAATCTCTAACTGTTTAATTATGGAAGCTGATCTCTTTGATTGCCTAATAGTAATTAGGTTGTATAGAATGCATATTTCTATCGTTACAAAGTATCTGCTGCACTAAAAGCTTCATGTTCTTGTAGATCTGAATACTAGTTATTATCAATTTTAACAATATAGCTGTTTGTTTTCCTTCAGAATGCCAAATGATGTTCTTTACTGGATAATCTGTTCAAGCTGATGATGAGAATTCAAGGATTGTGAATTATATTTCTTAATTTTTTTTCAACATACTAATCAGTGCATGGCATATACCTGTTTGAATCAGGTTTTCTTCCCTGAGGGACAAAATTGTATATTATAAAACACTGTACTGTTGTACCATAGGTTATCTTTATGCCTTAATCAAATAAAACATCAAGTGTTTATCATCTCAAAAACATTTTGATATTTTCTGAGCTATTAGGAACTGCAGATGCTGGAGAATCCGAGATAAGGTGTAGAGCTGGCTGCTCTTTCATTATCAATTCATTCACGTAGCACCTTTCACAATGAAGTTGTGTCTGTGTTTTACAGCCAATTAAAATATTTTTGACTTCTATTTCTTGCAGTACAACACGTGCAGTAGCCATTTTCCAAACAGTGTTCAGCAATCAAATTAAGTATGAGTCGATAATCTGTTTGTGATGTTGGTTGAGAGAAATGGAAGCTTAACATTTGAGCAAAATTCCTCTGGCTATAGAATAATGGGATCTTTTATGTTCACCTGAGTGGGCAGGCAGGGCCTTGGTTTTACATCTCCTCTAAATGACAATGTTTGGCTGAATGAGTTGTCTGTAAGCCCTCAGCTACAGTGTGAATTTTTCTTGTATCAAACAGTATTACTAATGGTATTGTGTATAAATGTTAATGTATTCAGTGATTTTATTAAGGAGAATTTGTCTTTTATCCATTTTTTTGCTGGACATTCACCAAAGATTCTGACACAACACCTTCCAAACCGTGATCACTTCCATTTTGGACAGCAGATACAATGGAACACTGCCACCTGCAGGTTCCTCTCTAATCCACTCATCATCCTGACTTGGAACTCTATCACCGTTCCTTCACTGTCGTTGCGTCAAAATTCTGGAATTGCCTGCTGAAGGACATTGACCCACAATCTATAGCACATGGATTGCAGCACTTCAAGAAGGCAGCTCACTATCATCTTCTCAAGGGCAACTCTGGATGGGCAATAAATGCTGCATAAGTGAATTTTTTTTAAAAAAAGAGGGTGCAGCTAAGAAAACCACACTTCTTGTCTGATATTTAATTACCTTGAAAAGGTAACGTCTTCTGATTGATCTCAAATGGGAAAACAAAGATTCCAATACTTCTTTCTCTCTTCTCCCCTGCCAAATATAAAAGGAAGAAGCATCACCACCACTACTTTATTGAGAAGTAAATGCCTTTTTCTGATGCAGGTCCAGGAGTAGGTGCCTCTACATTCTACTCTTTTTCTCTTTCTGGTTATAGGCTGAGTTTCATGGATAACTTGGGAACTCTATGTAACCCATTATTACAATAGCCTTAGATGGGGTTACTCTAAGCTCATCTCCGTGGAGAATGCGCGTCACATAAGCCATGCACCTGTTTAGAACTGCTAAATAGCTGTCCAGTGGAACTCCAAATCCATTTTACCTTGGATATTAGCAGATGAAGTACAATTGTTTATATTACCTGACATTTTTAATGCCACCTTTTTACGACACTTGGAGACTAACTGAGTGGCTTTGAGAGGTACTTGGTGTTACCATATTTGCTGGCCTTGATCTTTTGAACGGTAGTGGTTGTGGGTTTGGAAGGTACTATCTAAGGATCTTTGGATTTCTGCAGTAAATCTTGCAAGTTGTACACACTGCTGCTACTGAGTGGTGGAAGGAGTGGATGTTTGTGCATGTGTGCCAATAAGCAAGTTGCTCTGCTCTGGAAGGTGATGAATTTCTTAAGTGTGTTTGGAGTTGTACACATCAAGGTAAGTGGGGAGTATTCCATCCCACCCCTGACTTGTCCCTTGTAGCTGTGGAAAAACTTTGGGGAGTCTACACTTGGGCAGGACTGGAACCAATGTCCTCGGGGGTGCTTTTGCTAACGCTGTTGGGGAGGGTTTAAACTAATGTGGCAGGGGGATGGGAACCAAATGTGGAGGTTAGTGGACAGTAAGGAGGTGGTAACTAAAGCCTGTAAGGAACTAGATAATGAAGTCAGCGTGACTAAGAGGAAGAGTACGCAGAGAGCAGATGATGAACGCAAAGGGACAGATGGTCTGAGGCGCATTTGTTTTAATGCGAGAAGTGTAGTAGGTAAGGCAGATGAACTTAGGGCTTGGATTAGTACCTGGGAGTATGATGATATTGCTAGTACTGAGACTTGGTTGAGGGAAGGGCAAAATTGGCAACTAAATATCCCAGGATATAGATGCTTCAGGTGGAATAGAGAGGGAGGTAAAAGGGCTGGAGGCATTGCATTACTGGTCAAAGAGGATATCACAGCTGTGCTGAAGGAGGGCACTATGGAGGACTCAAGCAGTGAAGCAATATGGGCAGAGCTCTGAAATAGGAAGGGTGCGGTAACAATGTTGGGACTGTACTACAGGCCTCCCAACAGCAAGCGTGAGATAGAGGCACAAATATGTAAACAGATTATGGAAAGATGTAGGAGCAACAGGGTGGTGGTGATCGGAGATTTTAATTTTCCCAACATTGACTGGGATTCACTCAGTGTTAGGGGTTTAGATGGAGCAGGATTTGTAAGGAGCATCCAGGAGGGTTTTATGGAGCAGTATGTAAATAGTCCAACTCGGGAAGGGGCAATACTGGACCTGGTGTTGGGGAATGAGCCCGGCCAGCTGGTTGAAGTTTCTGTAGGGAATTACTTTGGTAATAGTGATCACAATTCTGTAAGTTTTAGAATACTGATGGACAAAGACGAGAGTGGTCCTAAAGGAAGAGTGCTGAATTAAGGGAAGGCCAACTATAGCAAAATCGGCAGGAGGGGGAATGTGGATTGGGAGCAGCTGTTTGAGGGTAAATCCACACTTGAGGCTTTTAAAGAGAGGTTGATTAGAGTGCAGGACAGACATGTCCGTGGGAAAATAAAGGATAGAAAGGGCAAGATTAGGGAGCCATGGATGACAGGTGAAATTGTGAGACTAGCAAAGAGGAAAAAGGAAGCATGCATAAGGTCTAGGCGACTGAAAACAGACAAAGCTGTGGAAGAATATCGGGAAAGTAGGACCAATCTGAAATGAGGAATTAAGTGGGCTAAAAAGGGTCATGAAATATCTTTAGCAAACAGGGTTAAGGAAAATCCCAAAGCCTTTTATTTGTACGTAAGGAGCTAGAGGGTAACTAAAGAAAGGGTTGGCCCGCTCAAGGACAAAGGAGGGAAGTTATGCGAGGAGTCAGAAAAAATGAGTGAGATTCTTAGTGAGTACTTTGCGTCGGTATTCACTGAGGAAAGGGACATGACGAATGTTGAGGTTAGGACTAGATGTTTGATTAATCTAGGTCAAGTCGGCATAAGGAGGGGGGTGGGGATGTATTGGGTATTCTAAAAGGCATTAGGGTGAACAAGTCTCCAGGTCCGGATGGGATCTATCCCAGGTTACTGAGGGAAGCAAGAGAGGAAATAGCTGGGGCCTTAACAGATATCTTTGCAGTATCCTTGAGCACGGGCGAGGTCTCGGAGGACTGGGGAATTGTCAATGTTGTCCCCTTGTTTAAGAAGGGTAGCAAGGATAATCCAGGTAATTATAGACCAGTGAGCCTGACGTCAGTGGTGGGGAAGCTGCTGGAGAAGATACTGAGGGATAGGATCTATTTACATTTGGAAGAAGATGGGCTTATTAGTGATAGGCAGCATGGTTTTGTGCAGGGAAGGTCATGTCTTACCAACTTGATAGAATTCTTTGAGGAAGTGACAAATTTGATAGATGAGGGAAGGGCTGTAGATGTCATATACATAGACTTCAGTAAGGCATTTGATAAGGTTCCCCATGGTCGGCTGTTGGAGAAAGTGAAGTTGTATGGGGTCCAGGGTGTACTAGCTAGATGGATAGAGAACTGGCTGGGCAACAGGAGACAGAGAGTTGTAGTGGAAGGGAGTTTCTCAAAATGGAGAACTGTGACCAATGGTGTTCCACAGGGATCCGTGTTGGGATCACTGTTTTTATGTGATATACATAAATGATCTGGAGGAAGGTATAGATGGTCTGATTAACAAGTTTGCAGATGACACTAAGATTGGTGGAGTAGCAGATAGTGAAGGGGACTGTCGGAGAATACAGCAGAATATAGATAGATTGGACAGTTGGGCGGAGAAATGGCAGATGGAGTTCAATCCAAGCAAATGCGAGGTGATGCATTTTGGAAGATCCAATTCAAGAGCAAACTTTATGGTAAATGGAAAAGCCCTGGGGAAAATTGATGCACAGAGAGATCTGGGTGTTCAGGTCCATTGTACCCTGAAGGTGGCAACGCAGGTTGATACAGTGGTCAAGAAGGCGTACGGCATGCTTTCATTCATCGGACGGGGTATTGAGTACAAGAGTTGGCAGTCATATTGCAGTTGTATAGGACTTTGGTTCGACCACATTTGGAATACTGCGTACAATTCTGGTCGCCACATTACCAAAAGGATGCGGATGCTTTGGAGAGGGTGCAGATGAGGTTCACCTCAAAAATGAGGTCTACAAAATCATGAGAGGTATAGACAGGGTGGATAGCAAGAAGCTTTTTCCCAGAGTGGGGGACTCAATTACTAGGGGTCGTGATTTCAAGTTGAGAGGGGAAAAGATTAAGGGAGATATGGGTTGAAAGTACTTTACGCAGAAGTTGGTGGGTGCCTGGAATGCGTTGCCAGCGGAGGTGGTAGAGGCGGGCACGATAGCGTCATTTAAGATGTATCTAGACAGATACACGAATGGGCAGGGAGCAGAGGGATACAGATCCTTCGAAAATAACTGACAGGTTTAGATAGAGGATCTGGATCGGCGCAGGCTTGGAGGGCCGAAGGACCTGTTCCTGTGCTGTAATTTTCTTTGTACTTTGTTCTTTGTTCTAGTCAGGGGGTGAGTCAGTCACCACAGTATTCCTAGCCTCTCTACTCGTTCATGTTGAATACCACTATATTTTATACTCAGTGAGTTACACTACCCTGAGCCAAGTTACTGCACAAACATCCTGGGCCCACTCTTGCTTACTATTAAAAATGGTTTCTGATGTTAAAAGGGTGTTTATGCTCACATTCCACCTTATGCTGTTTGAGACTGTTTCAGTGGGTCTAAAGCTGTCATGTTAGAGACTCCAGTCCATAGCTGCCATTGCTGTCTCATAAAGGGGAGCTTATGACCCAGCTGTAACCCTACCATTGAAAAAAAAACTAGGACTTGCAAGTG